CAGCTGATAGAAAACTGAGAATATTGCTTCAGAATAAATCATATTTGCAAAAAACAAAACACACACATAAATATAATAGCTCGATACCATAGAGCCCCCCCCCACATAGCAAATCCCAATTTAACCCCTGGGTACACACACGCACACACACACACACAGACACGCACAGACACACACGCACACGCACACGCACGCACACACACACACACACACACACTGTATGCTAATGGTCAGGTGGTTTCTGTGGACGTGTCACTTCCATTTCTCAGCTTTAGGATGTGGAGCCGCTTTGATCTGAGTCTGAGAGAGGATAGTCAGCTAAACGTGGATTCAACACACAACAGAGGCTCATAAACTGACAGAAACACAGTGCCTCAGTGAAACAGTCAGCCCATAAAAAACTAAACAGAGTAAACAGTAAGTTATTTCTTTCTTTACACAGATGTGGAATTAACAATTGTGTGGATTAAATAATTGTGAGAATTTGACGGACTACTAGCACACAGCGTAAAATACAAACCATTTTCATACAAAATTATATATATAAAACAGAGTTGTTTTAAAAATAAACCTCACTACAATTTGTATTATTCCCGAAAATAAGCAAAAAATATTCAATAAAACAGTTTCTCTGAAATCAAGACTGTTTTTAAAAACATATATTTAAAGTTTATATATTGAAAATAATTGTATTACTTTATTTTTACTTTTTTATAATATATAAATATATATATATGCACATGAAATTAAAATATTAAATAAACATTTTATAAACCCAGTTTATGTCAATATATTTAATAAATAAACATTCAATTTAATTACATTTATTACAATGTATTAAATATATATTAAAATAATTAAGTAAAAAGTAAAATAATAATTCCTATAATATTTAGTTTGATATTTAAACTTGAATTCTAAATATACATTATATAATAATAATATAATATATTAAATAATAATATAATAAATTCAAAATGCATAGTTTTTCTGATTTTCAGACTCTATTTAGTGCGTTATTTGTTGAACGATCCGTGTGTAATCCAGCAGGTAATTAAATCTTTCTCTTCCAGCGTCGCTGCAGACTCTCTTTCACATGTTTGTCTTGTCAACACTTTCTAAAGATATCGCAGATGGCATCTCATGGCATCCAAAACATCGAGCGACTGCTAAAATTACCCCCGTTATATCAGTTACAGAGGCACTTGAGCTCTGATATCAGAGCAACTGATTCATTACAGACTTCACGAGCCGAACCTCAGCACAGCACACGCCACAATAGAGTTACACTGGCTAGAAACTGAGGAAATATACTCCATACTCACCTGATGAAGCTGCTTTTCTATTTGGACTTTGATGGACTCAAATCAAAAGAGCAGATGATTCGAATCAAATGAATGAATCACATTATGAATCACTTGAGTTCAAAACGTTAGAAAACAGACTCAGATTCAGTTCAGATACAGTTATGGCTGTTTACAGTGATTCAGTCCATCAAAACTACATTAATGCAGTGGGTTTAGAAAAGAATCAGCTCACTTTAAAATAATCACACTTTGTTGCTTAGAAGCCTGAAATGAAGATGGACACAGTTTTTGTTTTATCCAGGATTAATTATATTTCATATTATATATTTTTTTATTTTGTTTTAATTTTAGTTAAAGTGTTAGCAATTTTGTTGTGTGTTTTTGTCATTTTTCTTCATTTTTTCATGTCCATGCATTTTTTTTCAGTTTCAGTTTTATTTATTTTAATACTTCAAGTTAATGAAAATGAGAAATGTTGCCGTGGCAACTAGCTAAAATAAAATAATTTTAGTTTTTAAAAATATTTTATTTCCGTAAAAGTTTTATTTCAAGTAACAAAAGTAGTTTTCTGGTTTTAGTGTTAGTTAACTATAATAACCCTGATGGAAACACAAATGTTAATATTAGTTGACATGAACAACATGAAAAAAATTCTAAAACATTTAATTAATCTTAGTTAATGTTAGTTTCAATATTTATAATACATTATTCAAATCTAAAGTCGCATCTTTTAATATTATTTAATGGATCTGAGGTAACATGAACTAACAATGAACAGATGTATTTTTATTAATTAACGTTAACGAAGATAATGAGTTGCTCATTTTTAGTACATTTTTAACTTGTTGTAAACGTTCGCATGTTCACAGTTCACACTTTGTTATTATTATTTTATTTTGTCACTATTATTTGTTTTTATTTTGATTGGTTACATTTGAAATAATGTATCAATTTTCGTTTTCCATTTATGATTTAATAATCAATGAGCTTTTCATCCGCTCTGTTGATTGAAGCGTATAAAGACAGTCATTCTGTCACGGCAACCGTTGCCGTGGAAACCAGACCGTCACCGTCTCAAAACCTGCTGTCTGGACGGAGACGAAAGTAAATCTCTCGCACTCTCTTGCTCTCAGATTAATCACGATTAAGACATTCCCGAGTGTGATCAGAGCCGAGGCGACAATGAACTCAGACCAGATCACATCCGTCCTGATGCTTAAGAAATAAAAACAAAGGATTTCACTCAGTACAAACAACTGAGTGAGGCCACAGCACACTACAGGGATGAAATATGTTTGGCTTTTCACCCCAAATTCTGTTTTATTTTTCCCAAATTCTGTGTTTTTTGTTTTCATTTTTCTGGATTCCATTTTTATGCTTTAAATCAATTCTAAAAAAATGTAAATCAATTTTAAATTTCATAAAACTTTAACAATTATATATATATATATATATATAATTTTTTTTTTACAATAATAAGGCTCTATGAAATGTGTTTTATTTTTCCCCCCAAATTCTGTTTTAATTTTCCAAAATTCTGTGTTTTCCATTTTAAATTTCTGGATTTCATTTTAATGGTTTAATTACATTTTAATTATTCAAAAAGCATGTTTAAGCAACTGAGTTCACAAAACTTAAACTATTTATTTATTTATTTGTGTATATATTTATTATTATTATTATTATTATTTTACAATACTAGGGCCCTATAATATACATTTTATTTTTTCAGAAATCTGGTGTTATTGGTCTTAAGTTCTTAAATTTAATTTCTTTAATTTTTCTGATTTAATACAAAAATAGTGGTAATCAGATGAAGGCATAAAACATTAACAGTTTAATATTTTTTTTATTAAAATTCATGAAATGTAAGTAATTTTTAATTTATATAACAATTTAATTAATCATTTAATTTTATTATTTGCCAAACAATGTGCTACACAAAAGAGTTTTTCTGTTAAAATTAAAAAATGATATATGAAAAATTATGATATTCTTTTAAATAAGGTAATTTTTATTTAATAATTGTATTATTAATATAAACAACGGTTTTAATAATATTAATTATTATTGTTATTATTACTACTTCAAGAAGTATGTTCTACAGTACAATACTAATACATTTTTGTCAAATTTTATTTTGATGGGTTATAGTGAAGTTTCGCGTTACACGAGTTTCATTTTTACGACTGGATTCCGTGATTTCCGTGATGTTTCTGCATCGCACACAGAGTAACACAATCCTGTGTATTGTCTGTATATATGTGCACACAAAATATATTAAAGCAGTAAAGCACTTAAGATCATGTGATACAGTGATTTTACACACAACACACGGTAAATCCAGAGGGATGATGGGAGTCGAGGGGGAAGCAGGTGGTTGGAGACTTAAAACTCATCATCTGTCCACTTAAAGCCCCAGAAACACACACACACTCTCTCTCTGACACACACACACACACACACACACACTCTCTCTCTCTCTCTCTCTCTGACACACACACACACACACTCTCTCTCTGACACACACACACACTCTCTTAGACACTCACACACACACTCTCTCATAGACGGTGTCAAATGTCCCTCTGCGCTGACACAGGAAATGCGACCACATACAAAGGCATGCTGGGAGTCAAGTGTGAATTTTAATAAAGCTGATGAGAGGGGGCATCAAAGCCCCGCCCCCGACCTTTGACCCTCCCTGATCTCTAACGGCAACAGCCAATGAGACACTTGACCCGCGATCCAGGAATAGACTCACTATCAGTGAAAGAGACGGAGAGAGAGACGCTCAAATGCTTCATAATGATTATAACCCTGACTCACTAACACTGGTGAACACAGTTGTGATGCCCAATATTTTTGTGGAAATTGTGATACATTTCATTTTTCAGGATTCACAGATGAATAGAAAGTTCAGAAGAACAGCATTTATTTGAAATAGAAATAATTTGTAACTTTATAAATGTCTTTACTGTCACTTTTGTTCAATTTAATGCGTCCTTGATGAATAACAATATGAATTTATTTAAAAATATATTTTGAATGGTAGTCTATCATTATTTGTACGAAAATATTGTGCAGCACAACTGTTTTCAACATTGATAATAATCAGAAATGTTTCTCAAGCAGCAAATCAGCATATTATACTGATTTCTGAAGATCATGTGACACTGAAGACTAGAGTAATGATGCTGAAAATACAGCTGCGCATCACAGAAATAAATTACATTTTAGCAGATATTCACATAGAAAACAGTTATTTGAAATTGTAATAATATTTCACAATTTTTACTGTATTTTTGAGCAGAAGAGACTTTTTCAGAGACATTAAAAAATCAGAAATATTCCAAACCTTGCTGCTGTATAACTGATCACTGGAGCTTCATATTCACTCACGTTTGCTCAGATGTGTGTGTGAGTGTGTGTTTGAGACTCACCGATACACGCGTGAACACGGACGCTCAGCTGAGTGCGTAAAATCACACTGTGCTTCTTTCCCCTCCTGAAAACACAGAGAAAACAAGCAATAATGCTTAGAACAGAAGATAAAAGCAATAAATCATCAGTGGTGTATGGAAAATAGCTGATGGATCACAGGACAGCGACAACAACCCGCAAAACCATCAACACGGGATCAGATGCTCATCCAGAACACAAGCATGAGCTCATGAACACACGTGACCACGTACATTTACACATCAACACCTGATCAACTACAGCAGCAAATCGGCCATGTCAAAATATAAAACAATTACTACAATTATGAAATCATAAAAAAAGAAAAATGAAAAAATACAATATATTAAATGTATAAATATAAAATTTCAAATATAAATTTAAAAATACAAAATATATTAAAATACATTAAAATATAAAATACATTAAATATAAATGTACAAATATATTTTATATATAAATATAAAAAATGTAAATAAAACAACTGCTAAAAATGGATTAAATCAGAATCATGTAAAATTTTAATAATTGTAAAATAAAACGATCAAAATAAAACAATTACTAAAAATTATTAAATCAGAATAATGTAAAATTAAAATAAATATAAACACCTGATCAAGTACAGCAGCAAATCGGCCAATCAGAGGCTATTTACATGTCTTCTTCTTCTTCGTGTCCTACGATCTTATATTACATCTTTCCAGTGTGTAGCACAACTGATGGTGTGGTAGCTGGGCTCTGCTAGATCATGATCTGAGGCTGCACTACATGAGGTGTTGCATATTTTGCTCGCTACCGCACTCGCACTTGCTGGTTGGTGAGAGACCCCAAGCATGTAACGTTTGTAGGCATCTTCCATGGCCTACTCGTAGCCTGTTGAGGGTCTTCCCAAAACTAAGAAGAAACATAGTTATTTCAACAAAAATACATCAAACTTGAAATGTAACGCAGGGAATTCTGGGAATGTCAATTTACGGTTATTCACTGTAAGCTATACAGTATTTTTCCACTTCCAAAAACGGTATACTACCGTAAAATTAATGTCCAATACATGTAATGTCCAATACAGTTTTTCACCGTATATAGTAGGGGAATTTACCGTTAACCATTTAACAAGTTTTTACTGTAGCATTTTTACAGTATTTTACCGTTAAATTCACGGTCATTTTTTACAGTGCATGACAGCAAAAAAGGCACGCAATAGGCTAAAGCGTGCTGCAAAGCCCCAGCAAAAGTAATTACCTTGAATGTGTTGGGGGGAAATGAGATATTTGAATTATTTATTAATAAATTAGTGTTTTCTGAGTCCGTGTCGCAAAGATGAAGACGACGAT